TTTTTTTTGCAATGCAAAACTGCATGGAAGAGTGAAAACAAACTGCGAATCATCCAGCCATCGTTTATGTTCTGCCTCACTGACCGGATTCATGAATTTCGTAAATCTGCGCACCGCATCCGAAAAGAGTGCAGCATTGGTTAGATCTTTTAGACAACCATTTACTTCCCATTTCGCTAAGCCATTTGCTAATATAGATCGCAAGAAATTTCGATAGGCGTTCAGCTGTTCACGAAAATGAGGAAACTCGTCGAAGGCTCTGGAAATAAATCCGGCTACGTTTATGATAAACAATAATACTAGTTGCTGATGGATCAGTTCTGCCAATTTTTTTCGTAAATTTGGTTTGATGACAAAGTGAGTACTGTGAACTGGACTTTGTTTGCTTTTCAGATGGTACCGTCGATATATGCTAGTAAACAGTTGCTGCGGCAAAAACCATTATTGTTCGTCAGTTTAAGTGGGGAAATGAAGAGAGGTATACGGTTTGAATTTCACGCTAATGCAGAATGTCGCATACAGAAGCGCAGTCACATACTAACATCTTGCTACTTCACTTCCATTTTCCAAGAGAGTGGCAGTTAGACGATAATGCTTCAGATCCTTCATTTTCATTTCCCAATTTACCACAAATTCACAGGAGAGAAAAAAAAAACTGATTCCGAAAAGTACGAAAGACTTCTAGCCACTCAGTCAAAACTCCTTGCTTAAATTAATTCCTACAAGAGGGGAAAGCACTCAGAAGTAGCCAGAGTGGCAGCACCTGCCAATAGCAACCACTTGCTGGCAAAGATGCCCATGGCTTCGCCCCCTAGGCTGGTAAAATTTGCCTGATACGTGCTCACACCAATTTTCCATCGAAACGAATGAATCAGTTACAGAAGGATCAATTGTGCCAATGGCGAAGTTAATGTTTATGCCAGTGGCAACGAAAACAGCGCTGTTTGACAAAAGGCAGTGCCCCTTCTGTCATTACTGATCTGCGGAAATTCCCGCTTTTATGGATATATACTGCCAGTCGTAAGTTAAAAGCGTGTTTTTGCGCTTAAAAAGGGATTAGACACGACGCGCAGTAAGTCTCCGGCGCCGACAAATGTCTATTAAATTGCGTATCTATTCAAATGTCTATTGAATCCCTGTACAAATTTAGACCCTGAGATAAATGGAGACAGTATCTGAATATATTATTCAAATTTTCTACTAAAAATGACTAACACACGCACAAACTTACAAATAGGACCTCTCCAATAAGCGTTTTTACACTAAAATCATGGCGACACGCACTGGGCTGGCCCGTGCGATCATGCGTTTTTGCAGTATTTCGTGCTGTAATGAGGTCGCTCGGAAACCCAGTAGTTAGAAATGTGTGTTATACTGGTTCTCGAACTTCGAGAAGTTAATTGTCTACGCGATATTTGGACAGGGAACATTCCGTTGGAATTTCAGCTTTCCAAATTTTGTGGTTCTTAAGCAAGCAATTTTCCTGCCAAAAATTTTCACGGGGCCGTACATGACAGACATGCAAGCCCGGGGCTGGATTTGATAATTATAAATTGTACTTGTGCTAGGAACATTCTCTAAAAATTTCAGCCTCTAGCTTTCCTGGCTCCCGAGTTAGCCATTTTTACGCCAAAAATTTTCATGGGCCGTTCGGGAATACCACATACGCTGAGGGGCTGAGTTCAATAATTTTAAATTACACATGTGCTGAAAATTTCAGCTCCCCAGCTTTCCTGGCTCTTGAGTTAGCGATTTTCGCGCCAGGAACCCTCGTGGGGTCATACGCAGGAACCACGCACACTTAGGGGCCGAATCTGAAATTTTTTTGTTCTATGTGGACGGGGAACATAACTGCAAAGCTTCAGCTTTCTAACTTTTCTGGTTCCTGAGTTAGCGGTCTTTCCACCGAAACTTTGAGGCACTCGTGTGCGGAGCCTAGACGTGGATGAAGGTCGTACCGCTCTCCTAAAGTGGCACATGACGGGGGAACCCAAGGGCAAAATTTTGGCGCAGGAGCTTGCTTGGGTGCCGAGTTGAAATATCCGGACAGACACACGCACACGCACGGACACACATAAATACGCGCACACACATACATACACACACACCGGGGTCGTCACAATATGCGTTTTTGCATTTGCATATAAACAAAAACGCATAATAAACGTCAAAAATGCATGAAATTGCAAGCCAAGCCCCGTAATGGGATATGAGAGACAGGATGGTGTATGAAACGCTTTCATCGTTTCAGCTTTATATTATACGCGTCAATTCGGGATATTCAATTCGAACAACCATTTTGGACGTAAAATTCGTGATCGGTTTGAGATACGGATTGATTTGCCAGCGAAAAGGACATGAAAAACTTACGCGCTATCAAAATGTTTCGTGAAATAAATTTTTTCATAATAAATTTGTCCAGCAGATTGCAAACGGCGGGCAACCGTGTGGGCTGTTAAATCGCAACATTCAACTCCACCTGCTACGCAACCGCTTGTCGCAATATCATTGCGCAATTCAATCACTTGGATACCATCTAAACAAACTAATACTTAAAAAACGCACAAAATACAATCTTCAAGTAGAAATTAAAGATAAAAAGTCGAAGAATAAGGATGCAAAAAACTGCAACGAAATTTTTCATTTTCGATCCGAAGGAAGTTTTGACATCAAAATTCTAATCAGTAAATAAGCGTTTCCTTTTTGATGGCAAGGAAGGAAGCGAAGGGAGAAAAGAAGAAATATAAGCAGACCTCAACGAATTCGTGCAAATGTTAAGACATAAATTACAAGTAACACAAAAATATTGAGACAGTAAAACGAAAACCAGTTCCTCTCTTCCTGCTGTAGCTTCCAGCAAGGTGGAGAAAAGCTTTTTCCCCAAAAGGCATATATATATGCATGCACACACAGCTGCACTTGAGCCACAAGGCATTTTTTAAACAGCACAAAATGATAGCACAGTATTGAAAAAGTACGCACAAAAATCAAAGCTACCTCGTTCCTGAACATGTTCCAGATGTTTTATAGGATCTATACGTAAATACCGCACGCGAGTGGGCAAACGAAGGCTATCTGCTCGTTCAGCTAACAAAGCTGTTTGTAACAGCGAATCCAGAAAAGTAACCCAGTTACCGGTCCAGTAAAGCATACCACGTTCGCCGCTGTTGCATGCACGATAAATACCACTGCAATGCACGGACACTAAACATAAGAAGACCTGATGTAAAAATTCATTCTTAAAACCAAAATTTTCGGCCCACTGTTTTCCCTTTGGGAATTTTGCATCATGTAAAAGACGGCCGCCTAATGTTTTGACTGTAACAAACATTCACACCGGCAAGACCAAAGCTCTGTCAACAGTTTCGAGATCATGTGAAAGATCCCAGCGAAAATCAGCCGCTGTGACTAATAAGAATCATGATTTTTTAGATTTTAGACTTTTAGAAAATGATCTCAACGTATTTCGGCTTTTTTAAGTTATTTGAAAAAAAAAATCATTCAAAAATGTTCTGGACCAATTT